CATAACCGATTTGCTTAATGGATGCATTCACCTATAATTCTTTGACAATAATGGGGTAAATAGGTCCATAGAGCATGTCAAAGTAGTTGTCCCACCATTTATAAGAGACATTTCTTTATATATTAAACCCTTGTTCCTTCAGATTTTCAAAGACAACAAATTTTTCATTAAGCGTGAACAAGAGGTTTAATCACCTTTAAAAGTTCTGAAAGCAATCTTTGTGGTTTAGGGTTAACTAAATTGAAGGAGAAAATAAGGATTTTCAAAGAAGGTTTAAAAAAACAAAAGAGTAGGTTACGAGGAGTGGGTAGTGGATATGGTGTTTAAATAGAGTGGATAAGAGGAAGTGTAGGAGATTTCAAACGAATCAAGGTTCGTAGTTGAAAGAGAACTAAATTGTCACCTTGAAAACCTACGAAAATAACTTTAATAACATGAAACATTTGATAGAAGCGATTATTGCTATTATAGAAAATATAATTAATGACATAGGGGGCGCCAAAACATGATTTTATTTTACCCAAAAAAATAACTCCAAAAGGTTATTAAAGCGTTTCTGACGACTAATAGAAATTGTAGGACATCTGTCCCACTTCTTAGCTACAATGATGGCTCTTGATTTTAACCATTAATATAACTCCGAGTCCCATAGACAAAAAGTTCCATAGGGATTCTGACTTAGGATCTTATAACCCATAGAACCTTTTAACTTTAGAGGGCTAACTAGTTCAGAGTCAAGTTTCCCAGAATCACATTTTAACTATGAAAAGGCTAGAGATAATGAGATTTATCAATTAATTAGGATATTTTCCATTTTAAAATTTCTCAATATAAAAACAAATTTATCTCCAACAAAGGGTTTTGAAAAGATGTCAGGCCATTAATGGTCTGTATCAATTAATTTTAAGTCTAAAATACCCTTTGAGCATAGTCTCTAATAAAATGATGTTTCATCTCAATGTGCTAAGCTCTAGAGTGTAAGATGAGATTCCTAGATAATCAGATAGTAGATGTATCATCACAGAAGATACAAATATACTCACTCTTCATTGATAATATTCTAGTTGACTCTTCATCCAAAAAAATTGAGTGCTATAACCAACTGTTGCAATGTACTCAACTTCTGATGTTGATAATGCAATGGTTGATTGTCTTTTGTTGGACCATGAGATTAGATTGTCTCCCAGAAACTGATAGCTTATATTAGTGCTTTTTCTTTCAAGTCTATCTCTAACATTATCAGCATCACAAAAACCTACTAACTTGTAATATTTTTTATTTCTTTTAAACCAAACTGAGGTTAGTAGTACCTTTCAGATGTTTAAAGATCCTCTTAACAGTTGTTAAGTGGAATTCTCTAGAATCTGATTGGAATGCAGCACACAAATATACACTTAATAAGATATCAGGTCTATAAGCAATTAAGTATAGGAGAGAACCAATCATACCCTTGCATACCTTTTGTTATACCTTTTTAATTTCCTCATCTTCTACCATAATGCAAGTTGGATGCATTAGAGTCTTGACTAGTGTGCTATCAGCCATATCAAACTTCTCGAGACGTTATTTTGTATACTTGCTCTGATGAATATAGGTTCCTTATGGACCTTGATTGATTTGACTTCCTATAAATAATTTCAATTCTCTCATCATACTTATTTCAAATTCAACCTGCATAAATGTAGAGAATTCTAGGCACAAAGTAGTATTAACAAAACCAAATATAATATCATCAACATAAATCTGGACCATCACAATATCATTTTTGTATGACTTACAAAATAGAGTTGTGTCAACCTTCCCTCTCTAAAGTCATTTTTCAAAAGAAATTTGCTAAGTCTTTTATACCAAGCTCTATGAGCTTGTTTTAGACCATACAATGATTTCTTAAGTTTGTAATCAAAATCATGATTTTTATGACTTTCAAACCCAAAAGGTTGATGAACATACACTTCTTTTATTATGTATCAATTCAGAAATGTACTTTTAATATCCATTTGATATAACACAATATCATAGTTTACTAAAAAAGATATAAGAGATAAATGGATTCTAACCTAGCCACTGGTGCAAAAGTTTATGTATAGTCAGTTGACTATAGCCTTGTGCAACCAATTTGGTTTTGTTTCTTACGACGTCTCTTTGCTCGTTTAATTTGTTTATGAAAATCCACTTGGTTCCACTGACATGTTTTCCTTTAGGTCTTGGCACTAGATCTCACACATCATCTCTGGTGAACTGATTTAGCTCTTCTTGTATAACAAATATCCATAATGTATTTAGAAGAGCTCCAATAAGATTGTTCTGGATCTATGATGACTCTTATTTTCCTTCTTTTGCTGATCATCCATCTAGTTTCTTTAAAGCTCTACACAATTTGAATCCACAAGATGTGTGTAATCATCAATTACCATATCCCATAAATCTGCATCACACATGCGGAAGAAAATTTTGATTCTATCTTTTCGGTAGTCAAACTTTTTTCCATCGAAGATTATTTTTTATCATTGTTGTTGGTAATGCCATACTATGTTAAAAAAAACTGATATTTATCTAACATGATTAAGTGTTTGACACAATACAGTCAATACTATAACCAGAGCTATGATGCCAATTGAAGGTTCAAGAAACAAAAGAAATGAGGGATTTGAATTGAGTTTTGAGGGGTTTGAATCGAGTTTTTGATATGACAACTTTTTGTAAACCAAAATAAGAACAACAATGATAAAAACACACAATGATTTTTATACTAGTTCACTGTTAACTAAGCTAATCTTGTACACTCGTCAGAGTGATTTGCCTTTTCAAAGGGACTTAATCCACTAATCAATCAAATTACAAACTCAAAGACGAACTATAATGACTTATCAAAGCTGCAGACTAAACTTAGTCCCTCAAGAAACTTAACCAAAGTTAAAATACAAAGATTGTATATTTACGAGAATGTTTATAAACAAGCACATACACAAAGTGAATTTAAGAATTTACACCTAATAAAATATACAAGAATTAACTCTAAGTGTTATGAGTGTTATTTCTCTCGTTGTACTACTTTTTTCTCGTTCTTGTTGTTTTTATCGTTGTGGTTCTACTACTTCTTCTAAACTCCTTGTCCTCTTTATATATATGAAGAATAGTAACATCAGAGGATGTAATTGGAAACTTCTTCAATTTTATAGTTGTAATGATGGTATGAGGTTGAGACGTGAATTATGGAGATCCGTTGGTAGTACATTCCTTAAGAATTATAACATATTTGTCATTTTAAAGGAACATTTGGTTTTGCCGCTTGAATGTACAAACTCCAAGATTATTCTTTCAATTATTATTCTCTAAATTCAATAACTTAGTGTTTAAGATGATTAGAAGTTTTACTTGAGCGTTGAAGTGCTAACTTGCAAGTTTATCCTCACCCCATCGTACCGAAAACTCACTCCACCGCATCAAAACTTTGTTTCATTTGATTTTCACATATTTTTAATTCCAGTACAGAACAATTAATAATGGAAAAATTTATTCAATCTAATATATGGAGAGAATTTACTACACTTCAAAGTCCCCCACGTCAATAAGATGCTTGGGCCACAATCTTAATAAACTATATCTTAATGCTTTAAAGATTGTCTTTATTTTGAAAAAGACTCATAAACATTCTAAAAGTAAAATTAATGTTATTTATACAATGCTAACATAAGTTTTGACTTTAACAGAAGATATAAATTGAATATAAAATTGAAACAAAATATTCATATACGAACAAATCATATGCAATTTAATTTGAATGCACCGATAATATAAATAAATTTTACACTGGCAATTAACCGTAGTTTTTAAATTTTTACTAATGTCTCACTTTCATTCTAATGATTTATAAAGTAACAACTTTGAATGGTTGTGATGTAATGACTGTGTAAAGAAAATTACACTAATAGTTCATAACAATTAATCACTATGCAAATTACAAACCAATAAGAAATATTACAAATAAGACTAGGATCTTTATTTAGAGAAGTGAGACAAATCAATTAACTGCTCAAAAAATGAATGAATATGAAGAGGTAAAAAAACAACACATAAATTTCGACTCAGGAATACAACAACACTTTAGTGCAATTGAGTATCATAGTAAGATGTGTCACTCTCTAATTTAGAAACCTAGGGCCACATGCCAAAGAAATAATGTGAAACGTCTCAATGATGAGACTCAACTTTAATGGATATGTTCCCTAGGATATCCACACCGACTGCCAAACCTATTCCACTTCTCCAAACAAACGACCATGACGCAGGGAATCCGATCCAATGCTCTAAAATGATTTCTCGTTACCATGTCACAAAAAGCCTTGGAGGAAACTAGTTTGGATCAGACAAAGGCCTAATAATAGAAAACCTACATATGATCTAAATCTAGAATGCCCAACCAACTCTCATACATAAGGATTGAAGTTGAAGAGAAAGGTATTGATTTAATTCATCTTTTATCCACACATTACTTATTATTCTCTAATTGACTTAGTAGTTTGAGTGATAATCTCGCATATCATTCCTCTCTATACCGCATCAAAAGCTCAACTACACTGTCGTCTCACCGTTCATCTCTAGTTCTAATCTAGAAAGATCTTAAATAATTAATAACACTTTATTTAAAATTTGAATTATTTGAAACAATCTAAATTTAATTTAAGATAAATTAATTCTCGTAAAATTTTATTTTCTTTGCGAGTAAATTCCATATTAACAAGATTCTTTTCCACTAGAAACCCTAGGATTATTTTTTTCTTTTTTCTAGTTCTCATTTGGTAAATAAACAAGAGTGGGTACATCTTTTATTTCTAAACCAAGTCGGTGTTCAGAAAGAAACATTTTCAATAAAAAAAAAATTGGGCCCAAACCCGGCCCAAAAAATATAAAAATGAACCGAAAACCCATTTGATTCATATAAATTCTCTGTCGTCTTAACGCAGCTTCTCTGATTAGGGTTTGCGACTTCTTCTGCTAAAATGGTATTCAAATCTCTCTCTTTCACTCTTTCCATGGATCCAAAACCTAATTTCCTTTCATTATTCTGTTTATGAGCTTCGATTATTCAGTTTATTGAACTTTATCACTCTAACTTTCTCTATGGATCCGAAACCTGATTTCGATTTCATTGCAAAGCTTGTTTTCTGAACTTTGATTGTTGAATGATTGCAGGGTAAGGGAACAGGTAGTTTTGGTAAGAGAAGGAACAAGACCCACACACTCTGTGTTAGGTGTGGCCGTCGCAGTTTCCATCTCCAGAAGAGTCGTTGCTCAGCATGTGCTTACCCAGCTGCACGTGTCAGGAAATGTAAGTTTTTTTTTCGATTATTAAATTTTCATGCTAGATATAGGTTTTTAGCTTTTCTGTTGTATGATTTCAGATGAGATTGATTTTATCTCGAAGTTATGATTTTTATACTAGATATAGATTTATAACTTTTTGTGCAATGGTTTCAGATAATTGGAGTGTTAAGGCTATTAGGAGAAAGACTACCGGGACTGGTAGGATGAGGTACTTGCGTAACGTTCCTCGCAGATTCAAGAGTGGATTCAGAGAAGGTATTTCTTTCGTATAATTACTTTATTTTTGCATCTGGGTATACTTTAATATTGTTTGTGTTAATACTGTTTTAGTGGAATAGTATAAGTTATGAATAACTTAATTAGTAGTCGATTCACAATGGTGCATAGTGAGGGAAATGTTAAATTTGGAGTGTTGATTCTCATTGTTTTAAGTGTAGTTAGTCTGTTAGATTATGTGCTTGTTCTTGTAGTTTGTCATTTTAGATTGCAGTCTCTGTTTTCAGTTATGTATTTGTCATGATGGGTATAATATGTTGAACTGTTGTGACATTTGTTATTGATAAAACTCTTTTGGTATTTGTTTCTGTTTTCTTTCTATTGTTTGTTAATTTGATTATTTGTTCTAGCTGATTAAGTTTGTTGGTGTATGTGTTTGTTCTTTTATAGGTTTTATTTTAGACAGCTATCTATGTTTTTTATGTATTTATTTGTTATAATGATTATAGTATATGAAAGTGTTACATTTATTCTTGTTAACTTTGTTTTCATCTAGTGTCGGCTAATATTCTGGTAATCTTTATGGTTTTATGTTAATTTTTTCTTCTTTTGACAAGACTCATTTTAGGACTTATTCTCTTTTTGAGATGAATTGTAAGGAATGTAGTATGTGTTTTTTTTCTAAACAATGTTCTTTTTGAAACAGGTACTGAAGCTGCACCCAGGAAGAAGGGAGCAGCTGCTTCTGCCTAAGGCTTTAATTATAGTAGTGGAGCTATTTTTGTGTTGGATCATTGATCTTTGGAAACATCACTCTATTTTTAGTTTTCTACTCCCTCCCTCTTTTAATATATAACTGTTTTATGTTTTAAAATGAGATTGTTTGACATTTTGTTGTTCAATTGGAATTTTTGACTCAAGCAATTGTGATTTACTGTTTCTGTATGATGACTCTTTAGAAAATTCTACTTTGCCTGTTTGTCAACTTTTAGAAGATAATTGTACTACACTGTGTTTATTAATTGTCAACTTTTAGAAGATAATTGTACTACACTGTGTTTATTAATTGATGCTAGTTTTATGCGTTTTAGGCTTTTGAAATGATAGCTTATTTTAAACATATATTCCACATTAGGCAGCACACATTTTCTAATATTATGACAACCCTTTTACAAGAGAAATTTAATTTACATACATTTACTATATTTTTACATACATTTACTATATTTGCTACTAGGTGGAAGATATGATGTAATTTATAAAAAAAAGTAATTTTGCCTTAATCTATTTTGAAAAAATTGTTTAATATCCATCTTTTCAATTGTGTTAAGAAGTTGGATTTCTCATTAATATTAAGAAATGTTTATGGAGAAATACTTATGCAAGAAGTTGGTGTTTATTTATTAAGCCTGTGTACGTTTATGTTCTGTGCACACCATCTCTCTCTTGCACTCGACTCACCTCCTATTTTCGGCCCACACCATCCCTTGCTCTACTAGCCACGTAATATCGTCTACTCGTTGTCCTGCTTTCTTTGTGTTGCTCTTTCTTGCTTCTTTGACTCATTTCATGATATTTTGCTGTGACTGACTCAGATTTTTTTCTTCCATTTCTTATGTTGTTCTTCTGTTTGTCTCATGGTCTTCAAGCAAGAGACAGCAATGTATTGTAACTGATTTTTTTAAAAAAATGTTATAGACATTAAATTATATTTTTGCCCACCTATGGTACATCTCTGCAATGAACAAAATTAAATGGAATATACACTAAATGGAGCAGTTTGTCAAAATGTAGTCTATATGATTTATTTCCACTTTAAAAGAATTGAAAGCCACAATGGAAATGATCCATTTCCTTATTATACAATGCAAGGTGGTGATGGTAATTTTAAAAATACCGTAGTGAAGAAATCTTTTTTGCCCACCATAAATAGCAGACATTACTTTGGTGGCTTTGTTGATTTGGTTAATGCCATAGCAATCTGCAATGATTCTGAGGCGTTCAGTTGATCTAGCACTAGTTAGAAAGTTTGGATTCAGGTGAGAAAAGGTTGCATAGTGGAAGATGAAAGTAGAACATAAAGTAACACAAATTAGCAAATTAAATATATATCAACAATCTTCTTTTTTCTGGACGGGGTATCAACAAACTTCTGAGAAGCACAATATTCAACTTTTTTTTTTTAAAATATTAAATTATTCAATGATAAATTTATATTTTTAAATTTCATAACTTATACCGTTAAGAATAATGAATTGTATTGCATCCCAAGCTAAACAAAATTGTATTATTCATTGGTCTCATTTGTTGATTTGAACTGACATCCATAGGAAGAAGCTATTTGCGAATTCTATCTATATCCATCGAAAACAACTTACATATGAACTGTTTATATAAAATATATAAGTCTAAATTATTTCTTTGGAACATTGTATTAAGTGTGTTAAATGAAGATTTGGCTACCAAAGTAAATTTATGGCACTCTGATTTTCTTTTTGAAAAGAAACAATCACCGATCTCACTAATTTTCCCAACCAAAGTAAATCAATGCAAAACCAGCAGTTGGTGTATGAGCAACCCTGACAAGCAAGCACATTTGCCTCTAGACTAGAAACAAAGCTGTTGGCTTGAAAAAAATTTGGCAAATGATCTTCAAATGATTTAATTAATCTCAAAATTTACAAATGCCAGCCAGCCTTAAAGCCGTAGATTGTAAAATGGAATCGCCTTCTATTCATTGTCGGATGGAAATTGAAGGAGGCTGGTTGCAGAGACAAATTGGGCACTCAGGAACAATTGCACAACAAAAATATAATTTGGAAGACTGCATTAACACCTTCGTTTCTCCATACTTCGGCCGAAAACGACTATATTTACTTTACGAGTTCACCAAATTTATGCTTTTCATCATGCAGCTGCTTGAATACATCGTCAAGTTCTGGAAATGCTGACAAAAGCAGCATCTCCAGGAGGTCAAAAGCCAGCAGTTTCAAGCAAACAGATGACTGCAAGAAGGAAAAGAAGAAAAGTCTTAATAACCATACTCAATTAAGGCCGAACAGTAATTTATTTAATCCAGTCACTGCAACATGGGATTGCTAAATGATCATTGTGACAACAACACAATGTTGTAAAAGTTTCAAACTATAATCAAACAATATTGAGTTAGATTAAGGAATAGCTCGATATCGTGATCATAGTAGTGAGGTTTTCATTTTTCAACAAGGTATTTTTATTTCAACCAAAAAAAAAAAACAAACAAGGTATTTTAATGAAATTAATACAGACAAATTTATCGGTGAGAATCCTATAGTGAAACGAAGTTAACATGAAACATTGATAAATGATGATGCTAACCATTAGAAGCACCAGCAGAGTGGAAGTGAAACCCACTAAGTTTCAAATTGGGATCCAATGTTGGTTTTCTTATAACTAACAACACAAATAGATCCGGGACAACATTTACCTGAAGGAAAAAATAAAGATCCCTGGCACATTGTTCATATTCCTTCTTTCCAACAAGACCTACAATTGCCGGTGGTGCTTGATCTACACAGAGGGGATTGTTTGTTTAAGTATAATATATTTTATTTCAATAGAATTGAGTATTTGATATTGCCGTCACAATTACGAAGATGAATGAGAACAATGTAAGGTATTACCAATCATTAGCTCGTATACAAACTTTGCGCGGCGATCTGCCTCTGCTTGCTCATCTTCCATCCTTGGAGAAGATACTGGTGAAGGTTGATGGCCATTGGGTGAATTCTGAGATGGACTGGTAGGCGGTGGTCGTCTATTTGGATGCTTGGTTAAGAAAATTCCATCAGGCCAGAGTATCTATTAAAATTGCAGTCACAACACCTCATAAGTACACTACGTCTATATCTAAGAAATATACGGAGTATATTCTGGACCATCATACTAATTAAAACTGCATTGTTGCATCCAAAGATTATCAGGAATGTATATATAAATTGAAACACATGATTTCATCAAAGTGAGAAATTTAAATGATGAAGACATTTTCAAAACATATTATAAGAACTGGATCAGATGATAGAAAAAAAGGTGTTCATTATAGGAAAACACTGTTACACTTGGAATCTGTTTGGGAGGAGAGGGTTTTAGAAAAAAGAAAAGAGGAAATGGGAGGAATGAAGAGCTTTGGGGAGTATTTTGCTTCATAATGTAAGAACTCTCTATTTTTGAGGATTTTTGAGAGTTTCGATAAATTCTTCAAATCTAATCTATGTTATTATAATACTCTAGAAGTTAAAAATATATTAATCATAAACATTTATTTATCATTCATTACAAAATCATTCATTCAAATAAGGTATAAGATTACATTCTATTTCCTCTCCTCCCCTCCCCCAAAAGCCCTCTCTTCCAAACTCCCAAACAAAACCTTACAGTCCAAGTTTTTGAGAGACATGGTACCTAGTACTCTCTAAATCTCTTTTCATAACCTGGTAAAGAAGATATCCTCTTTAATGTCTCCTTTCTATTATTTATAGCCTCTCATCACACTCCTAACAAACTAACTTCGCCCTCTTATCATTCACCTTGCCCTAAAGGTGAAAGGTTAAGTAAAATGCCATGGAAGAGTAGACTCCAAAGAACTCCTACAATACAATCTCGTTGCCATTGCCATTTGATCACTGCTGTGTTGGATAATTGCCTTGAACTATTGCAACAGCTTTTGCTAAAAAAGTAACTTGGTTAATTTGTTAATTCCTTTGAACAGCTTAACAGAGCCCACGTCAAAGGGGATTGAAGCCAATATCATTGTGTTGGATTTGGATAATTTGACAGAAGTTCCCACACTCTTTTTGCATCAAGTCAGCCTCAGTTTTCCTTTTCAATTCTTTCCCGTACCTTCCCAGCACTAACAATCTTCCTTTGATAGATTTTCAATATATGGGATAGGTGATTGATACGATAAATGGATAGTACTTGTAATATTATCAACAACACTCTAAGGATAACTTTCTGCAGAGTTGGTTACATAAACATAGAGAAAAACAAACTGCTGCAAACAAAGGAAATAACTGCTAAAACTAACATAGCCTTTAGGAGTTAGATAGCCTAGTCTCTCTCAATCAACCAAACATGAAAAAACCTGAATAGCAGCCACATTGCCAGCCTTTTTTCTATTTAAACATGCAATTAAATTAAATTGGGCCTTGTACTTAACATACACCTTTGTAATAGGAGGTCTACTAACAATCTCCTTGCCCCCCGTGCTGTACTACTTATCTGGGTTTCATATGTTCTGGTCACTGTATCTAGTCTAGCCCAACGTTACCAATCCCAAAATCAGATAGTGGAGTGGAGTGCAACAATCACTATTTCAGCTGCTACAGCCAGAACGCTAAACAGCTTATTATGTAGTGAGCAGGGGCCTTCCTGCAACGCTGCTATAGCACTATTGACTCCTCTAATCTAAGGTCCGTTCTTGTCGATACAAGGGATCTTGCTCTTAACCTCTTCCCACAACTACTCGATGGAAATCTCTGATACCAATCTGATGAGAACCGAACCCAATTATAGAAGAAAATAGTGTTAGTTGATAGTAAATCACTACTACAGTCCATGTATTTGAGAGAACTGGCTCCCTCCCACACTTTATCCCTTCCCATAAACAAGAATACCTGCTCTAATCTCTCATTTCCATTATTTATAGCCTTTCATCTCACTGTTGTAGCTTTAGTTAATTGATAGACCTGGTTCTCTCCTACTCTAAATCCCTCACCAAAACCACTCTCCTTAATCTCTTTTCTATCACTTATAGCTTCTCATTTCATACCCTAACTAACTACTTAACTAACTCATTAAAGGATGATTACCTATCAACATCATAAAATTTATTTTAAAAAAGGGATCTTTAGATTACTTGCTCAACTCGTGTGACTCCTGAAGCAATCACTGATCCCTTTCGGAGAAGCAGAATTTTCTCTAACAACCAATCATCTAAGGCATCGCCCATCCCTAGTTGTAAGACTTGTTTTGCAACCCAGAAAGCTTGCCTCCTGTAACGTACACAATGCAAGCATTTTAAGATCAGATCTTACTGGTGAAACTTAACTCCAAACAGCATGTTTATAATGAAATGAACAAGATTTTTCAAATTACCTAATCCATCCACCGTCTTGCAGCTGGAAGATAACATCAACGAGATCCAATATGGGTACACTTAAATTTGGTGGCACCCACTGCATAGAAATTATATTAATCAGAACCAAGAAGCCATCATGCATATAATTATATAAGAACAACATTGAAAACCAAATATCACCATTTTTCTGTTTGATAGAGCAATGAACCAAAGAATAATACTAAAGAACAATGAATTTAGTGTTTTCATAACCTCTGTTGGAAAAGTGTCAGCAGTATCACGGTTCACATCAGAGACCTCATCTGACCTATCTCTTCCTTTCACTAACTTCTGCGGGTTATTGGGAGAAGGTGCACTCTTCCGAGCTAGAATATCTGCATTGCTTCCAGAATTGTCAAATGACTGTCTAGATTCTTGTGTATTCTTTTTTGTCGGTAGAGAAAGAGGCATGTTATTTAATTTTGGCCTTAATCCATTATCCACAGCATTATTTCTTCTTCGCAAAACAGCCTCTTTACTTTCAGAACTATGGTTTTCCCTCTGAAAGGCAAAAGGGCCACTTCCGGATGCAGAAACAGTGGAACTGATTTTAGTCTTCTCAGGTGACTTAGAGTCCAGGCCAACTAGAATAATTTTTAATTAAGACATAATGTAAGACATGTCAAAAGATGGAAGTAGAAGGTTAATAAAACTCTATGATCAATATTCTTCATCAATAATGAGTCACCTGGTAATGTTTCCATGATAGAAAAAGAATTTGAGAATATGTAGGTCTGCAATAAATAAAATAAAATAATAAGAGGTAATCCAAATAATTTTAAAAAGACTTTTGACAACAGAAGCGAGGAAACTGGTGCACAATAAATCAGACCTGAGAATCAACACTCAGGAAGTCCCATAATTCAATTGATTCTGAAACTTTAGGTAGCTGCATAAGTTTCTGAGGGCCAATAAACCATGTGTCAACAAAATATTTTAAGAACCACTAAAAATTAAAAGTAAAGACAAAAACATGCTGTACAATAGATACAAAAGGAGGTATCAACTCAATAAAGGTGCACTCATATTTAACATCTATCCTGCTGTTAACACGGTGTTGATCATTCTCAATTATGTCATAGTACAAAAATCAGACAATATTTTCCTCCACACAAAAGAAAAAAACACGAAGAATGAAAGTTGACCAATGGGCTAAAGGAACCAGTTCATTAATAATGCAAGCCTACCAATTAGCCAAAGAAACAATTAGGTGCCAGAAAGTGACTTCTTCTAAAGCAATAATGCAGACAGAAACAGAAATTCCAAGAGTGTGTTATAATGCCACAGATTGGGTAGTGGGAGGTACCCAAGAAATGTGATCTATTAACCTAAAAAGTCTGAGTTAAGTTGACCTTCAAATATTTATCAAGCAATTCACACCGCTCTTGAATGACTGCTACATCTAAACCAGTTGACAGAAAATGTTTTGGTGGCAAATGAAGATTATACTCAGGGAACTCTTTCAGGCGCCGATGCAGCTCTTCAAAATGACGAAACCTTAGAAAATATGCAATATTGTGAGCTAAATTAGAAATAGAAAGGAAACAAGCAACACAAGAAGATATTATCTGATGAAATTTTATTAGAAATATGAGCAAAAGCCTCCACACCTTCTTTTAATTGACCAACTGTTATTATTTACATCTGTAACGGATATGGAGTAAACGGCAAATGTTCTTGAACCACTCTTCACAATGTTTGCACCCAAGACCTGCAGCAATGAATTAATTTACACTTTTTCATATACAAACATATTAGTACTCATTATTGATTAAAGAAGCTATCGAGCACCATCACTAGTACCTCACATCTCAACTTGTAAAAGGAATCTACGGAAGAAGAACTTATCAGAGGATTAACAGCCAAACTACAAGATTCTGGTTTGGATATAGAGGATGAAGAAGAGGCGGCTGCTCCACTATAAATTCTACCCAAACTTTCAAAATCGACCTCATCGGAGGACTCGTCAGAATTCACAAGTGATTTTGAAGAGCCGAGTATGTCTTGACCATCACCAGATAAAAAACTTGATCTCTCAACTTCCTGCCACATCTGTGTCTTTTGATCGCTTGATCTAGACCTTTTACTGCCAGACTGACTTCTGAATGATCTCGGGTAGCGGGAACGGTTCTTATTCCTTTTCTTTGTACTGTGGTTATCAAAACTTTCAAGTGGGTGATGAACATAAGAAACAGCCTGGTTTCTGATACTTCTTCCATCCCAAACCTTAGTTCCAGGGGAATCAAGACCTGTAACATTACTAGTTTCATCATCTTCAGAAGTGTAAGACGTATTGCTCTCTGATTCAGTCGTATGCATATTAATGTGGTTGTGCTCATCATCTTTATACGAGGTAACTGAAGAACGAGTTGATCCATTTTTGTCTGTATGAAAGGTTGCATTTTCAACAGTGAATTGACTGCTATGTCCAGAATTAGTGTGGGATCCCGTAGAGGAATTGAGCTTCAAACTAGTACCTTTTTCTTTTGGTCCAGATATTGCCTTAATATGATTTACCTTGGGTGATTTTCCTATTGGGGGATGTTGTGGGACTCGTTCATTCGATTGGTTCTCCCCATCCTTTTTCTTGTAATTTTTTCCCTTTGCCCACACATTCTCAAAATGTTCTGGAGCAAGAGTTTGGGTCTTTCTACGAGAGACGACATCTAAAATATCTCCCCACTCTCCTCCAGAGTGATATCGTTGAATACCTTGGTCACCATTACTTTGAGAGTTTCCAGGTAAAGAGTTCCATGAACGGGAAGATCGAGTATCAATTGAAAGCAACGGGTCCCTAGCAAGGTTATCAGAAGCATTCCTTTCAGCAGGTGTCTCTGCATTTCTGGATTGACTGTTCTTTAGCTGTGTAAGCTCAACACCAGTAACGGAAGGATCTAAACACTTGGAAAAATGGTCAGATGAAGTTTGTGGCTCATCTGCTTTAGTGTGGGATACCCCTTGAGCTGCATCAACCCCCTTGTTAGTCTTGGTCTTATTAATTACCACAGACTCAATTCTTTCATTAATAAATCTGCAAAAAATAGAAAAATGAGAACATATATCAAGAATGAAGCAAAATGGAAGAAAACAACTACCTTGGATTGGCTAAATTTAGAACAGGTCGTATTACAGTACATGCAAGAAGCTCCCTGACAGTATATCGAAAGAAAGAACACTGCAAATCCTCCGACTTGAAAGTGGCGGACATAAGACCACTCATCAGATGCTGCAAAACCTGAAAAATAAAGATACACACAGCATGATAATCCAAAATTAGGAAATATGAGAAAAGGAAGCTTGACCCATGGGTGAAAACAAAATTCCCCATTACGCCCTGAATGCATGTCAAACAAGAAAGTGAAACCACCTTGTGCTCAGCTTCAGAAGAGAATAAAGCAGGATGTAATTTGTTTTCTGCAGCCAACACAATTTTTAGTTCCGTATCTCGACTTTCAATTGTTAATGAACCTGACTGTTGTTTTTCAATCTTGGAGATAGAAGCACGGAACAGCTCCAAATGAGTGCAAATGAGATTAACAAGATCCCTGAACCGAAGAAAGTAAATTCCAGAATCAAATAAACTGAACTCAAGATAAAGAAAAATCATGGACAAAAAGTGTAACAATGAACCTTATCAAAAAATCAATCAGATTTATATTTCTCATGCGTCCTGAAATTTCACCAAGTACACCATTAATTAGTTGCACCAACTCCTCAGGAGCCTCTTTGTCCGGTGTTAAGCGAGAGTACCAAAGATCTGTTACCCACTCAGAAACCAGATGTCTAGTGAAGTGATCAATTGCATCCTCAACAACAGGTGAATTCACTTTTGCTCGCCACTCAAATTTTGCAACTGCTTTAGGATTTTCGGTAGGCTTCTTCGAAGACTGAATACTGGTGGAGCTTGCTTTATTGTTGTATGCTGCAGCTTTTCTCTTCATTTCATAATCCAGTGATAAATAACGGAAAATGACAATTAAGGAAGCTGCAGCAGGTAAGTTGACCCAAACTGAGGAGCTTGTCACTGAAAAAAAATGCAAAAGAAATTATACCAAACACCTGGATCTAAAAAACTAGCATGAAACTGTAAATTAGCAAGTGAAGTGACAACTCTAAATATACACGGTTTTCTAAGTGTTAGAATGAGGCGTTTATCTTGGTCTATGAAGCACGGACACCCCGAATTTGAGTCCGACACTGACACGGCGACACCGCTAATAATTTGAAAAAAATGAATAAATTAAACGTAATCACAAGTGTCGGATACCGACACGGACACGGGCACGCGTTTTTTAGAGGTGTAGGTGCTACATAGATCTTGGTTAAATGAGTTAGTAGGTAGTTACCAAACGAACACAAAAGTAGGTCTGATCAACGAGCAAATCTAAGTTTATGAAAGTTATGAAAATGAACCAAATTGTAGTGCAGAATTGGTTTCGTTGAAAGACCGAGTGGTTTGATTATGATAAGATGAATAATCTGAACGATTTAACTAGACAACTATATATACAGGGTAGACATAATTGAAATCTCTCAAAGTTAGGAGCAAAAGTAGGAATAACTATCAAACTATCTATATCTAAACTATATCAAATAATAAAGGAAGTAATAGATTATAATTATAGTTGAAATCAACAGTCCAAGTCCCCCAACCTGATACATATATATCACATGCATCTATGGTATCTTCCATACTTTTTGTTTTATTACTTCATCTCATAATATAATAAGTGTCTTGTTTGATTGAGTTATGCACAATTCTTAAGAAAATGATTAGATGTGTTGATTCTAATATAATTAGTATCATTTATTCAATGCCCTTATTAATTATAGTTAGTAGAGTAGTTGAATATAGTGAAAGTTAATAAATAAGGGTATTGTAGTGGAAAAAAATACTAATAAATATTGTATTGGTATTGTAAAGAGACATTTATTTTGAGACAGAAAAAGTGCAAATGAGACACTTTTTATAAGACCGAGGGAGTAGTTTTTATTTAGCTTTTATCGCTTGATCCATGTTTTATTTCACAAGAAATGATCATTTAATTTCTAGTCTTGGAACTCTTTTATTTGTTTCTATTTTTTTTTTGTTTGTTGAAAACTAGTTATTTGTTTCTACTTGAACCACCAAAGATTAAAATAAAAGCAGCAAAAACATTACAATAAATATCTGAGATAGTGGAAACAGGATATTGGTGAAAATTAAGGCAGAGGGGACTACATCAGTAGGGATGCCAACACCCAACTGGGACCAATAATAATAAGGCTAATCCAATAATTACCCTTTTGTTTCATTGACATTCTAGTTCAACATGGGGATATTATAATTAAAATTGACTGAAAGCAAAATAGAAACTGCATCTTGATTTTATTCAGAATTAATCTTTTATTTATAAATATTCATTCATTTATATGATAGTATGATAACAATCAATATTTTTTTACAATATTCATCAAATAGCTTTTAACTTTTAGAAATAGTTTTAAAACTAAAAACTATACCCACCATAATCTATCCGAGGTCCTAATAAGCATTCAGTGAAGATATCAACTAGCAGGTCCTTGGAGATCAAATAAGTCTTGATGATTCAGGAGAGAATCTTTTATGATTAAATGATAGTCAGCTTCTATGTATTTAGTCCTCTAGTGAAAAATAGGGTGCAATAAAGCACGGATACACTAAAATCTCTGCCAAATCGCACTCGAAACGTTGAATCATTGTGATACATATCAAAGGAGTATCCAAAAATTTTATTTTAAAAAAACAAACAAAAAATTCCGATACGCCGCGATATGCCATCGACACGTCGCTAATGCGCCACAGATACGCCCAGTTTATCTCAATAGTGTTCATTTTTCTAATACATGGATCAAGTTTTCCCTTCATTAATTACTCTTCTCTCCATTTTAATTACCACTCCTCTCTCCTTTAATTACCTCTTCTCTCTTTCTCTATCCTGAGAATCAAACTTTCCCCTCAGGTACTACTCTCTCAACTTTAATTACTAGGTTTAGTATTAGTAATGTGTTAGGCATTGATTTAACTAACATCTAATTTTTGTTAGATAGTGATTTAACTAATATAGTAATATCTAATTTTAATTTTTATATACGAATCTTAAACATATCGTATCTTAAACTTTTCGATGAATGATCGTATCTGATAACCGTATCGTGTTCGTGATTCGTTGATAGGGTGTGAAAAAAGACAGTGTAGATTGATTATCACAGACAAGCTCATAGCATAACTCCCTGCCTTCATACTTAACCTTGACACACTAACTTGCTTCTTGCTCTTCAATGAGGTTAAGTCTCCAATAAGAGCATAATAACATGGAATAAACTATCACTTGCATCACCTACCCAATTAGCATCCGTGTACCGAATAATGTTGAATTGGCTCGTGTCTGTATAAACAAACTTTATGATTAAAACAACTACATTCAATGACTATCGAAGGGTGAATGAAAGCAAAATACTTGACACTGTTAGATAACAAAACCTTCCCATCTTATATATTTCCAGGTTAGGATTTGGCTCCCAATGAAGGTCACTAGGAGTCCAGTGTTTACGATCAAGCATCTTTGTATTTTTCAAGATGCCGAGCATATATCTTTTGTTAAATAACAAATCCTGCCTATGATGGGATAGCTTCAATTCCAAAAGTTAAGGCAACCGACCTAAATTTTTGGTTTATAAAATCTTAAATAAATGTTGCTTTAAGTTCTTAATGGATTCTTGGTCATCGCTTCCAATGACAAAGCCATCTACATACATCACAAGACAAACAGATTTATTCAAAGCAAGCATTTATGGAATACAAGATGGTCCGTCTTGCAAAGAATTATGAAAAACTACTATATGAACTTGTTAAGCTTCATAAACCAAACTCTAGGTGATTGTTTTTGTTTAAGACCATACAAGGTTTTCCGTAACCTCTAATTAAGGCGTAACTTCCCTTAAGCCACAAACTAGAGCGGTTGCTCTATAAAGACCTCCTCCTTCAAGTGACCATATGACAAACATTTCTAATATCTAGCTATTCTAATATCTCGCTATTACAGAGCATAATGTCTCATGGAAGTTGTAAACGCGAACACGCGAAATAGACACCATCTTAGAAACTGTTTTTTGTTTCTATAACATTGAACTTACTTTCTTATTGGCTTTTCATGACTCAGTCTCATAAAACATTGCAAGTTTTATAGTTGTTTACCAAAACTTTTCTTTAAACTTGAAGTAGTACTTTTTCACAAATTAAACTAGAAACATATTTCCCTTTCGTCCTCCCTAACCTAACATCCTCAATTCTCCCATTGTCCTACACGATGTACCTAAAATACTTACACAATGATATTTGTGTATCCTTCGATACGGACACTAGGACATGGAACAGACACTCTGGCACTAATAATGTAAAAAATATTAATAGGATTCGAGCTGAACACGTTCCAACAAAAACCTTCCAACAACCGTCCTATAGACGTTTCCGAACCATATCATAATGTCTTAATTTCAACAACATCAGTAAACTAATTGTTTTCAGAACCATATCATCATTTCTTATAACTGACATCGAAACAATCATATGTCTTAATTTCAACAACATCACTAAACTAATTGTCCGAAATTAAGACGCATTAAACGCTAATCGCCATAATACTTCAATCCTACCAATCTTTGCAGAGCTAACAATGCAATAATAACTATAACGCTTTCAATAAACTTGAGCAAGTGATAAGCAACCAATTGAAACCAAATAAACAACATAGAGCAAGAGATTGCATAATAAACACTCTAAATTGAAGTAAAACGAAACCGAAAACAAAAATTGACAAGAGTTTAACTCACATGACATGAGATAGGAGAGTCCAACAACGCAAACGATGAGAATCACAATCCGTTTCTTCGCTTCCTCAACGAGGTCTCTAACTGCTACTTGATTAGGTTTCGGCATGCTCATCTTGAAATTCTCAGAATCAAATCACCGATTAAGAATAAACCTAATCGCGATTGAAATCAATCAAAAACACGATTCGAATTAATAGAAACGATAATCATCGATCGCGATTGAGAATTGAGATGAACGAAAATTGAAGAAACGATAACGAAATTGAAGTTAGGTATTTTTGGTGGTGATGGGGAATGAATGAGAGTTGATTTTTCTGAGTTTTATGTGCGTCTCAGTTTTCTCTTGAACCCGTATTGACGCGGAATGAATTATGAATCAGATTTCATTTTTCTACTATGGTTATTAAATTTCTATCTGTGTATGTATGTATACTATACATGCATTCGTGTATCTGATGCTGCTACTGAGAAAAAAATGTATATGATGCCGATGCTATTGACATTTGCTGATATATTTCAACCAGTAATGGTTGATATGGTAAAATAATTTTATATTATTAATCAATCAAAATCTTTTATTCAATTAAATTATATTTTTCTTAATAAGATGACATAATATTTATTTTTATACTCTTGGTGTATAAATATTAAACTCATCTTTGGATATATAAAATTATAATTTTTTTAGTTTAATTGTTATGTATTATCAATGTAAATATTTTTATACGATTAATGTATCATGACCATTCAAATTTATTACTTAAAAAAAAACTAAAATTAAAGTCAAATATTTTAAATAATTCAACAGTCGTGATTCACTGACGGTGTAAAACTGCTTTACACCGTCAATGTATTTCAATTAAATCTTTTTTTTCTTTGTAAATAATATTTTTAGAAACTTGTTAACAATTTTTTAAAATTAATAATATGATTTAGACACTTAAATTCTTTTAAGTTTTTACTCATTTGTTTCTGTTTTTTTTTAATGATTTTTTATAATTATAATTTTGATCAAATACAAGTTTTAAATAAAAAATTAATTTTAATAATTTAAAAAGAATACTATTTTAGGTATTTTATCTACATACTATAAAAAAAATTGGATATCAAAATTTTAACTACTACTTAAATTTGAAACTATTTAAATAGTTATTCATAAAATTATTTTTGCAATATATATTTTTAAAAAAATTATAATTTTGACAATATTTAAATCTTCAATAATAATGTGTATTTATGTTATTTGAGATGAAAACTAGTGTTTTAATTTATAAAAAATAAATTTGATTTTTTTAATATTTTAACAAATATTTTTATAAATATTATTATAAAAAATATTTAAAAAATTATGATCTTAATCCTCTGTCTATAATTATAAGGCATTTCATTGGAATTTTCATTTTTTTCTTGACTTTGAAAAAACATCACAATTTTTTAATATATAAAAATATCAATTATTTATTTATTTATTTATTTATTTAATTCATATATCAAATAGTGATATGTATAAAATAAAATTAAATGAGTAATATTTTAAAGTATTTTATTTAAAAAAATATATCCAAGACATAAAAATAACAAAAATTTGAATACACCACCTCAATTATTTATTTTGTATTGTCTAAAAAAATACATGTGTATACGTGTTCCACTTGCAATGGCAGGGAATTTCAGAAGTCTTAATAGGTATATTATGAATGGGATGAGGGTTATCTCATGGCGGCAAGTAGTCTTGTATGGTGGTTTTTTAGGGTGTTTAAGAGACCAAGCTCACATGAGGTGAGATGCTCTGTTGGTGGTCGGTGATGTTGGATCGCAGACAAGCAGTTGGAGTGATGTTATTAAGGTTACTCGTAGTAGAGTGTTGTATGAGTGGTATTTTGATGTGTCAAAATATGTGTTACTTGAGAGCCACATCTATCCCATCAAGGGATAGTCTATTTATAGGGATTCTCCCATAGATAGGGTTTACGGTATCTTGGGTGTGGTCTTAACTGCTACCTTTTATAAAGGAGATAATGGTCTGACTATATTTTCGGAGTAAACAAATACTTCTTTTTATTTAGCTACCACGTTGGGCGATCTGCGTGGGCTCCCATATTGAGTTTTTCCCAGGCGGCCCACTTGTTAGGCAATGGGCGCCCTAACCTAGGACTTTTCCAAATAGAACACTACACAGTCCCTCAAGCACCAGAGCCTTTTCGAAAAAAGGGGCAAAGTATTTTAGAACCATTTCTCTCTCCTGGAGGCGCTCTTCTCCCTGCCGACGATTCCCCTGCCTAAGGATGGCATTGTATGGCGATACCTTTTTATGACAAGTCCCTCGGTGTAGGGCTATTAAAGTAGCAGCCAATTTCTTTAGCTAAAGGTGTGTACAAGGTAGACAAGGTTGTTGGTTATATTTCCCATGCCCGATAAGTCAGCTCTTCTTCATCCTGACATGCTGTGATACGGTGGGAGAACTGACTATGGTTTTGCGTTTGTTTTCGCAAATGTTTCGGTTGAGCAAAAGTCGCCACCGACTTTTTATTTTATCCTAAGGAAAGGTTAAAAAGCACAGCAAAAACCTTTGAGATGTTTTCTTGGGTTCGGGGAGTAGATTATAGAAAGGGAAGGTATTAGCACCCTTTCTATCCATGGTTATCCATGGGCTCTTAGTTACTTGCTTAGATCAACTTGCCTTGATTTTCAATTGTTTGAAATGGTGCTTTGTGTGTGTGAGTTTGAAAAATGTTTTGAAAAGAAGCCAATGTGGTGGCAACCTTTGTAATGATCCATGTTGGGATGTATACAAAGGTGTATGTCTTTTGAAAAGGTTTTCATTTGTTTTTGAAAGTTTTTTTTGAAAGTGTAGTGATGTGTGGTTTGAAAATAGGCAAGTGTTTTGTTTTGCAAGTTTGATTCAAGTAACTAAGAGGTTGTCTACTCCTAAATTTCTCAAAGATTTCTTCTATGTTTTTAACCCTTTTAACAATTTTGTTCCACCATTGCATTTGGTGGACAATCTTGTGTTAGGATATGAAAGGGACGGGCGCGGGTCGTCGTTTAGACCATAATTGCAATGGTGCCAAGTATCTTTGGGCAATCTTTTCTTTAAGGGACTTGATCATTTTTTAGGCAACTTTCGAAAGCGTCATCGAGGGACTATGATCATTTGATTGTTTTGTTTTGCCCAAAGAGACCTAACATGCAATATGGTCCATTTTTGAAGGCAACAAGTGGAATACCCTAGGGGTGCAAGTGTGATTAGTGTTGTCCATTTTCATGCTTGTTTATCTTGAGTTTAGGTCAAACTATTTTTGTTACTTTTGATTCGCATACAAACCCTAATTCTAGCATGGTATAATTAGAAATCATTAAAGTGCGAAAAATAAAGTTCCTAAGTTATTACAACACAATATGGGAAGGGGGGTACAAATGTTCAAATGGGGGGTATTTTGACAAGGAATTTAAACCTAGACTATTACATCAAATTGAGAATTTACAAGATATTTAATATACAACAATTAAATAAAATGGAATAAATATGCAAGATGCAAAAAATGTTTTTTTTATGTGTATGAAAAAAAGTATTTTTTATGTGTCAAATAAACAAAATAAAAAGTATTAATTTTTGAATTTTTATGTATTTAGGGCAAAACCCTAATTTTATTAAGTAAAATGTATTAATTATTTAATATGTACAAATATTTATCAATTATGTACAAAAATAAAATAAAAATGAAGTATATTTGTAAAAAGGTATTTTTAATATTAAATATTAATAAAAATGAAATTGTGTATATTTTGTATTTTTTAACCTAAATATACTAATAAATATATATGTACTTATATTATTTACAAAATATATTGAATATGTACAAAATAATAATATTTAATATTTATTAAAAAAAGTATATTTTATATAAAATGTTTTTAGAAGATAAAATGAAATAAAAAAGGGAAATAAAATTTGTTTGCACTATTTTAGTATTTTTTAAATAAAAGTATGTAAGTATTTATTTATGTACAAACATTATTTTAAACAAATAAATGTCTAATAAATATAAAAATGGTGTAAAAATATTTTTTTATATTTTTAATATTGTGAGGAAAAATAAATAAGTCAGAACAAAAAAGAAAAGGTCAAAAAATCATGAAAATAAGCATAATGGGCCAAGGGGGTTTAAAAGTAACAAAAGGGTGCAAAAAGAAAGTCAACTCAGGCCCAGCCCAAGAAGACTTCATCTTCAACCTCAGAACATGTTTGAACAACCATCCACGCGCGTTTTCTATCTCCCAATTCCTGGACTTTCAAGCAAAACTCACAACATGAAAAATGTAGAGCATTAAAAGACGAATCCAGACATATAAAGAACTTGACTTAACTCTCTAAGATGAGAGAGAATTTCTTCTCCCCCAATTCCTGACCTAGTTTTTGTTCCATGTTCAGACATTAAATTCTCACAGCACACATAATATAAATGAAAACTAATTACATGGGCATGTTCAGGGCTATGAATGTGACATATTTTCTTCACAAACCTAAAGCTAACAATGCCTGGATAGAGAGATACGAGTTCATGAACTTACCTGTTCAGTTGGAGTTGTATCTGGTGATGGAGGTACTTTCAGTGCAAGGTGATGATTGGTACAGCTTCCTTGATGTCCAGGGATGCTATTCCAAGTTTTACTTTGCTTTGAAACTAGCTGAATCGAGTTATAGAACTCCACCTGCAAAACAGAAAAATGAAAATGGTGATGTTGAATGGGTGTTACAGGTCGTGTTTGAGGTTTGGAATAGCTTCAAGGGGATGTTGAGGGATGTGTTTGAGGTGATTTTAGCAAGAATGCATGAAAGGATTGAGCTATGGAACTCAATCTGCAGCAGGTCCTCTGTTTTGGCAGTTTGAGGGTGATTCTATGTTTGAGAGGGTGTTGGAGATGGTTGGCTCGTGTTCTAGCTCAGGTTTGATGATTAGAAAATGTTTGACAAGTTTGCTTAAGCTTGTGTTAGCTGAGATGAGAGTTGTGTTATGTTATGCTAGCTTTCTTCAACTTTAAGCAACAAATGTCCACTTGAGTTTTTAGACTGATAGAGGCCCCCCCTAATGTGATGCATACCTTGGCCTT